TATATATATACTGTATATATTTGGTCAATCCTATTGACACATACGAATTTATCAGTAAACTTTTACTGGGCCACAGTGGTCTTTCGCTATGGGTCTTTTATGAGTAAATGGGTCTAGCAACACCCCTAGTAAGAGCAGCCATTCATCCCTTGGGCTGTTTTGCCCACTACCATCCAGGAGAAAACCAGCCCAAGAACAACCTTTTTCTCACAGGATCAAACTGCTCAAAAATATCTTTCTGTTCCACTTTCCCCTAATCAGACTGCAAGGTGCTACAAAGACTGGCACCATCTCCAGATCATGATTGTGTTAATGGCTCTGGTTTCTGTGTATATTTTATGCCTGCTATCCATTGATATGAATTGCGATGCAGCACACACAGTCTCTCGCTTCATATGCAGCTGTGCACACTGCTATACTGACAGGATCGCTCTCTGTAAACATTGTTCATATGCTGCGTTAATCATCTGTATATTGTAATTTGTGAACAGTGTCATTGTCTGAGTCTGTCAGACAGTAATAATCATTTGTCCTGTAGAGTCTTGTATTAAATGGTTTCTGGAGGCACTTGTGCTGCTAGAGGAAAGAAATGATGCAATTTCTCGCTTCATATGCAGCTGTGCACACTGCTATACTGACAGGATTGCTCTCTGTAAACATTGTTCATATGCTGCGTTAATCATCTGTATATTATAATTTGTGAACAGTGTCATTGTCTGAGTCTGTCAGACAGTAATAATCATTTGTCCTGTAGAGTCTTGTATTAAATGGTTTCTGGAGGCACTTGTGCTGCTAGAGGAAAGAAATGATGCAATAAAATGGGAATCCGAATGAGCAGGTTATCAGCCTTCGAGTACAAATGCATTGTCTTCAGATGATATCGTGATTATTAAGGATGGGGTTTGTCTGTCAAAACATCATAATGACCTCTTTATTGTTAATGAAAGGAAAACGTTATCTGATATTAACCCGCTCTAATTAGAGGTTGATTTTAAATGACTTGGTCCAGAGCCGTGAGCACAACCCAACATGCCTGGACTCTGAGAAAGACATTATTTCAGCCAGAAAACATTAATTATATTAGGTTGATAACATCCATCCATCTTTTAAATTTGTTTAGACACAACTTTTCTGTTAAATCTTCACACACAAAAAAGTGTACCATGGTAAGAAGTTACAGTATGCCAAAATACTACAGTCATATGGTTAAAATTAAACACTAAAAAAAAAAAAAAAAAACACTTTGGTAATGTGTTCCATTTTAAATCTTAAATGCTATTTTTATTTTTTATTTTATTATTATAGTTAAAGTTTAACTATAGTATTTAATGTTTAAAATTAATGAAATGTTTAAAATTAAATATGAAACCACATTATTTGTGGACCATCTGTTAAATGTCTTTATTTAACACAGCTGATGAGTAATTAAAATAATCAAATAATCAGAATTAATGAGTTCAACATTCATTCATCTGGTTGATACTTTTTTTATAACAAAAAAAAAAAAATTAATGACTTTTTTATTACTTGCGTGTTGAACTAATGTCATTAATCTGATTTTTTTTTTTTTTTTATGATATGTTATTCTTTTCGGCTTGGATATAATTAATCTTCTCCCGTTACTGTAAAGTCTTACTGCTCAATAGCGCCTCCTGTCAGTGAAGGCGGTACAGCATTAAAGCCAAACCGATCTGTTCGTTGGATGTTTGAGATTCTGAGGTTGGAGAGGCTCCACATGCACATCATTTGCACATGAACAGACTTTAGCTGGAAAAATGACTTTGTTATTGTCTTCTTGCATTACTGACAAACTATTTTCCTGTTTGATACTGTAAAGCTGCTTTGACACAATCAGAACTCTATAAAGCGCTATACAAATAAAGGTGTGTTGACTTGACTTGCACATGCAAATTACTTGATCTCTGACCTTCCTGCTTTTAAATGAAAATCATTCTTTGACTCTTATTTTAAAATGTCAGTATTTTCGCTTCCTGTAAAACTCCCGGGTGGTCAGTATTACCAATTGTTGTATTACATTTGTTCTATTAAATGTAACAAGTGCAGATATCACGTTAAACCACTAGAGGGCGCTGCTGCATTGCATTGATTGATAGTGTGCTGCGCTTGTCAGTACTGTCCATGTGACATAAACCTTTGCCTTGCCTTTCAATCTTGAAAGATGTGATAGCCTACTTATTAATAGCTGACTAGGAAATGAGAAATACCTGATATTGCTGATATTGTTCCTTGTATTTCTCTTTCTTCTTCAGACAATCTGTTATGTATTAACTCTGTTGTATGTTTACAGTCTTCAGTATAGTTTTTGAATTTTCATTTGGAACAGAAAGATTTGAATTTGTGATATGATGTCAATGACATGAAATCAAACTAGGCGCTGATAACATAAACACACTGCTGGCCAACATGAACCTTTCATTAATGAGGCCTTTTGTGTGAAGCTTAAATAAAGAGTCTTTTGTTGTAGCCGGTAAAGGTAAAAAAAAACCTTGTAATCTTACTTACATTCTAATGGCCATTTCTTGTTTACAGAGATGTTAGTGTAGGTGAAACACACACACACACACACACACACGTGGACTTTAAATAGGTGTAATGGTTTATACTGTACAAACTGTATTTTCTATCAACAGGAAGTATCCTCATAAGCCATGTTCACGTTGTAATACCTCTGTCATTATACACATTTGTGTCCTCATAAACCATATAAACATGTACACAAGATTTGTCAAGCACGGGGAAAACAAATGGAACAATACAAATGACTATCAATGAGAAATTAACAGGAGCTTGGGGCACAATTGTCACCAGAATGAACAAAAATGCCCTCCAATTTAAAGATAAGAGGGCAAAAATGCCCCTGCATAATGAATCTAGCTCTATTACAGCTGTCACTATTAAAGTAAAAAGTGAAATGAATGAAAAGTGTTGATTGCTGGCTGCATTAGAGTAGCATCAGGCTTCTGTTTACACATGCTACTGAAATAACCAATGTGATTGATCTTGATTTTCTAATCCGTAAAAAGCAATAAACAAATTTGCAAATTGTTCCTAGCTTGTTTTGTATGTAGACAGAATACGATGTACCTTTTCCCCCACAAAAACTTTATATTAATCAGCAATAATGATCATTACCCTACCTGTAACAATTTTTTAAATAGGGTATTTACCTCATGCAATTTTTGTGTAAATACATGTACTTGAGAGGCATTACACTTTATACTTCGCAGTTTAAGATGGCTTTTGTTGATGTTGAAAAAAAAAAATCCCTTAATTTTTTCTTAATTAAAACCGAATCTATCAAAAAATCTTCCTATTATTTCATAAGTCATGAGTTTTGTAGGGTTAAGCAAATGCATATTTGTGTGTATATGTGTATACAGTACTTTATATACAGTATATACACCTACAAAATATAAACATAGTCTATAATATGTTAACATTCAACACCAAAATACACTAATACCGAGTATATTATTGTAGCCTACATTAAAATACTTCGTTTCATGAATACAGCACAAACAGAAAAGGTTCCATTAATTGACTAATATGTAACCAAATAGACAAACCCTAACCCTAACCAAATACAAACATGCCATATACAATCTATCAGGTACCCCATCCATATCGTATTAATATTACAATCGCTTGCAAGCAGATACAAAATGTATCGTTCTGACTGACGTCAGAGGCTGAACCGGAAGCTGTTCCGTCTTCTCTGTCTGTGTGTGTGTGTGTGTGATTGTGAGCTCGGTGATACACTGACAGCTGAACGATACGATGTAACATTGACCTCCCCGAGAGCAGTCCGCGTGGATTATGTGTTGATTTGATGAGGACGCTCGCGATCGTAACGCGCTGATGTCTCTACACGAGCGTTTCGCACGGGACTGATCTTCTCGCGGATCGCAGAGCCCGTGTTTCATCCCGTCGTCCGCGGCTGTTACGCCCATCATCTGCGGCGGGGCTCCGTCGATCAGTGGCCGTTTGTTTATCCGCACACAGCGGGACTCATGGGGAACAGCACATCATGCTGCGTGTCGTCCAGCCCGAAGCTCCGGCGGAACGCGCACTCGAGGCTGGAGCCGTACCGGCCCGAACCGGAGCTGAGCCGAGAGGACACGGGCTGCAACCTGCAGCACATCAGCGACAGAGAGAACATAGACGGTGGGTGTGATCCAGCATCATCCACACACTCAAATATTATGCGCTTATGTCCATTAATAACCATGATGGTGGAATAACGGCTCACTGAAGAGAAAACTGCTCATGAGGGTTATGTGTTCAAAAAGTATGGTGCTTTTTGGAGAGTTTACCATACCACGTATTAGGTAAAGTACCACGCAAATGCCGTCATTCATACAGTAGGTGGAAGTACCACGGTATTACCCCACTGTACCATGGTAACGCCCTTACATTTTTTTAAGGGAATCACACTTTGTTATATTAATAGCACTACGGTGTCTTGTCAGTGTATTACAGAAATACCATAATTACTGCAGTAAAACTCTCGTAACTTGATTTTAACCCTCATTGTCATGTATTGATATACAACGTGGTCTACAAAAAGTAAGGACTTTTAGTATTTAGTCTACATGATACATCACTATTACCACAGTGTACAATGTTGGACATGTGCCATATTAAAATGCATGACCGCCCTAATATTCATATACTCTAGCAGGTCCCACTTTATATTAAAGGCAGGGTATGTGATTTTTCAAAAACACTTTAACTTACATTTAAATGAATCATTTGGTACAATGCATTTATTGTGTACATATATGTTTTTACATTGTACTTAGGCCTATATAAAAAAAAAAGACCTGCATATAATTACATCTGTGATTTATTTCTGTAATTAGATTTATAATTACACTATTGACCCATTCCTTACACCTTAACCCACCCTTACCTTAACCCAACCTTAACCTACCCATACCACCAAACCTGTCCCTAACCTTACCCGTATCCCACCTCAATAGCAGCAAAAGTGTTTTGCAATGCAATATGAACACAATAAGTATAATGTACTTATTTTTTTATGTAAGTACAGGGCACTTAATTTAAAGTGGGACCCTCTAGCATTTATGTTGTACTCCAAGCCAAGGTACTTCAAAGAATACTGTGATATTGCCGTGGCAGAGTACCGTAGTGCTTCTTTGTGGTTTGTTTTACTCACTTGTACCATGATAGTACCAATATAATGCTGTTTTAGGACGTGCATTGTTGATTATACCATGGTATCCGATCTGTGGTGTGCAGCTAATGGGCATCTGTTGACGTGGAGAGTGGATCCAGCTATGTTCTAATGTAATTTAACATCTAGCAGAAGATAGAGGCTGATGAGAGTGTCATGTGATCGCAGGCAGAGCTCATGGATTTGAGGTATAGCTGATCCAGGAACAGTTACACTCTGTATCACATGATATTCATCTAGATGTGCAGCATGTAAAATCAATAACCAACATATGATCATACTGTAGGTTGGCGCCATGAAAAGTCTTTATATATTGGTTTGTTTGAATTGTTTGATTTGTTTATGTTGATTTCATGACATTGCCATTATTTAATAAATGGACAATTAATGCTTAATTCATGCATTTTGATCGATCTGATGCTATTTATTGTCCTAGAAATTGGTGTTTGTGATGACAAACTTAGTTATTTTTTATTTTTATTTTTTTAATTCTTATCCAGTACTTAATAACTGGAAATGGCATGGAAAATAATAAAAAAATTTGTAGAACTGTTATATCTTTTATTCATATTTTTAATGTTTTTTTTCTTTTCTTTTTTCAGTTTTTCTTTTCTTTTCTTTTTTTAGTAATTTTATTGTGTTTTTGTAGTATTTTTGTGTTTTTTTAAATATATACATTTTTTACATTTTTTTTATTCCAAGTTTTTTTTTTTTTTTTTTTTTTTTTTTTAGTACATCAAGTTAAACTAAATTAAACTTATTTTCTTTGCAGTTGGCTGAAATCTAAATTATTTAATTTTATTTTATTTCAAGTAATGTTTGTTTTATTTCAAGTAACAAAAGTGCACTTTTTAATTATTATTTTATTTTTATTTTTTATGGTTTTAGTTTCAGTTAACTATAATAGTCCTGTTTAGCTCTAAAATATGTCTTTGCCCCCAGAAATTTTGTTATATTAAATAATTATCCAGTAATTACAAATGTCTGTCCATGTGTGCCCTTCTAAATTTATCTCAGGTACACTTCTGAGTATGATTTAAAGACGCATAAGTACATCCTTAAGTCCACTGACATACAATTACTTTTATTGCACACTCCTATGATACACTGCACATTGAGGAAGTCCCATATTTCATCACAGCTAGCCCACCCATGGCAGCTGAGCTCTTGTGCCGTGAGATGGGAAGGGTGTGATGGTTCGGGGTCAGTCTGTGCCAGTCTCCTGTGATGGGAGAGGAGCTGTACTGCGATTAACACTGTCCATTGTGATTCAGACAGCTGCTGTGTGAATCAGCTTTATCCCACAGAATAAATCAATGTCAGAGCTCCAGTTTTCATTCATGAAAAGCTGCTTCACGTTATTGTAACTGCAACATAATGCAGTGTTTACAACGTTGGCACATTGCTTGTATGTCTTTGCATCGAACCTTAATAAAGTATTCTAGGTTACCAAGCTCATTTAATAGCATTTTGTTGCATAATGTTGATAAACACAAGTTAAATTCTGCTGTTTCATGCATGAAATGCTGCAAAAGATACAAGAGTGCAATGGTACAGGTGCATCTCAATAAATTAGAATGTCGTGGAAAAGTTCATTTATTTCAGTAATTCAACTCAAATTGTGAAACTCGTGTATTAAATAAATTCAATGCACACAGACTGAAGTAGTTTAAGTCTTTGGTTCTTTTAATTGTGATGATTTTGGCTCACATTTAACAAAAACCCACCAACTCACTATCTCAACAAATTAGAATACTCCATAAGACCAATAAAAAAAAACATTTTTAATGAATTGTTGGCCTTCTGGAAAGTATGCTCATTTACTGTACATGTACTCAATACATGGTAGGGGCTCCTCAAGAAAACGAGAGAAGAGTTAAAATTATTTTTGTGCTAATAAAACTTTGTCGCCAGTTCTGCTGATTGAGCTTAACTTTTACCAAACCCTGCATATTCTTTTAATTTTGAGAGTTTATATAATTTAGTATGATAATGTACACTTAGGATACCCTTTAATGTGATACTAAGTGTTTTAAACAAAACTCAAGTATCTTTTCAATGCTTTGCAATTCTTTTGGTAAAAGAGGCAAATCCAACAACTATGTTTTTTTCTTCTCTCTGTAGCCTGGTACCTTGATAATATAACATCGTTTGGTACCTTGATGATATAACATGGTTTCTCAGTGGATCAATTAAAACCTGTTCACCCTAACTCCCTAAAATTGAGGGAGTTTGGAGTTTGCAATTTTAAACGAGGTCTTGCCATGCTACAGATGGTCAGTGAGGCCTTAAGCGTTGACTCTTTCTCCTTAAAGGATAGACAGCATGTAACAGGAGAGTGAAGAGCGAGAAACTAAGGCACCTGTCTGTCTTAAGAGTTAACAGGATTATGTGTGATCTGCCATATGGTCTGCTAGTTCTCTTCTTTGCAACTCTTGATATTGTTTGAATTTTGACTGGAGCCATGAAATCCAGAGTTCCAGACACTTGCTTTGATATATTTGATTTACTGCAAGATCGCTGTTCATACCAGGGTACAAGTTTACATCTTTCCACATGCTTTTACTCATTAATATGATTCTGTACAACATCTATACTGTTGCCTCACCAGTCCTGCAGTGCAATGTGACTCTGGCATGATTGAGAGTGCAGTACAGTAGGGCATTTGTTTGCAAGTACACTGTGACCCTCCAAATGTGTGACTTGAAGTCAGACATTACAGGGCTCTACAGTCGACCACTAAAAACTACAGCGACTATGACAAAAATATTTAGGAGCACCGTTGCGACTGACCCGATCAGCATATTTGTGTTTGTGATCAGGGGAGCGTTTCTACTTACAGCATGTTTTTTTGCAGCGTTGAGTAATGTATCACAGACATATCTGTGGATTCCTTGTTAATCAGAATCCACTCACCGCTCAAAACACCAGCGATTTGTTCAGTGCTGAGTTCTGCTAGCTCACGAATCCTCTCATTATAACAAACAATGTGTAGACAGGGTGTAAATAAGATATATATTGTGCAGTGTAGGTGGCTTTGTTGATTATAATGGAACTTTGTGAGATTGCGATGAACTAAGGAGAGTGACAGCTTTTAATGATTATTAAGGGAGTTTGCAAATGTGATCTTGATTTAAGACAACAGTTCAGTTAACAAGAAGATAATAATAAGTAACTTATATTGCCTGAATATAACACTATTGCCTGAATTTCATCAGTGAAAATAGTTTAAAGGGGTCATATGATGCTGCTAAAAAGAACATTATTTTGTGTATTTGGTGTAATGAAATGTGTTTATGCGGTTTAAGGTTCAAAAAACACATTATTTTCCACATACTGTACATTATTGTTTCTCCTCTATGCCCCGCCTTCCTGAAACGCGTTGATTTTTACAAAGCTCATCGGTCTGAAAAAAGCGAGGTGTGCTGCACGTGAAATTGGGCTTTTATGGAGGAACGAAAGCACAGCGCTGGAAAAGGGGGCGGAATGGGGCGCAATAATCGTTTTATCTCGATTATTGTATTTTCATAATCGTTGGAGGCCAAAATCGAAATTGAAACCATTTTTCAATTAATTGCACAGCCCTAATTTACAGGGTATCTGCTAGGGCTGCACGATAAATCGCATGCGATATTTAACGCGCATCTTATCAGTAAAGCTGGTTCTGTATGTAGCGGTAAATCTCCATCACCTTCGGGCTTTCACATTGAGCAGCATTAACTGCCCAACTTCAGTCTACTCATCACCTTAACTTTAACCGCATTGTAGCCGGTGCCATAGCCAGACTGATAAACAAACACAGACCGGAAGTTAACTAAGGGCCAGGTGCGTGCGCCCATTGAAACAGCCTATATAAAGCTTGAAGCATCAGAATCGGCATCGGTATCGGCCGATCACCGTGACAAGAAATCGGTAAGAAAAAATCTAATAAATGCTATTCTTTTGAATGAAGAATCCTGAAAAAAAT